TAATCTCAGTATATCAGCTACTTCAGCTAGATTTACCAAGTGAACGGTATATAATGATTGCCAATACAATATGTTTATAATACCGTATTTTATACTCATATAATATGTAATACTCAAACACCGTGTAAAATCTCGACAGTTCAAAGCCCAGGGGAACGAAAATACGAAATAAAGTTATCCGAAAACAAGTACGAGGAGCGTACTTAACATAAATTTAATTGTATATCTACAGTACATTTTAAGATTTATTTTCGTTTGAATGATCGAGAATGTAGTTTCTTCAAGAGCCCATGTAATAATTTAACTTTATTTAAATTGTACTTTAATTGGGTAGTTACCTACAGTAATATAATTAGTCCATGACCAGATTTAGTATTATTAAGTGTCCAAGTGGATAATTTGTATTCCATAAAATGTGTTATACTTACAGGTGTATTAACTTTTTTGAGTTTCAAATTATTTTCAGAAATCATAATATTATATTTCAATTTCATACTTTTCAGAACACGTACGAAATGTTTTGTTGTATTATTCAATTAAGAAAGTAATAAGACGTGACTGTGGTGGCAGTATACAGTTTGTGCTTTAGTGTCGAATAAAATATATTACGTCGAAAACCACCTCCACAAAGTGTATTATTATTAGATTTTAATTGATGTACAAAACCTGCCAATTCTGACCACAAGATCTCCAAATCAAATGAAGTCCTATACGTGCAGTGTTCGGTCGTTTGCATTAAATTATAATATTAAATATACAATATTGTTGAGGTACTGCGCACAAAACAAAATATATGTATTATATCTATACATTATAACAATAATGTACCGTATACGGTTGTTGTTTGCATAAGCGAACATATTTTGGTAGTAAAATAATTGGTTACTATTGTGATTTTAAATAAGCTTTTCGAATCCACACCATGTTATATGCATCCTCTATTCATTACGTGCACAATCATACACACGATTCTGAGTGTATTGTGTGTGTGTGTGTGTGTGTGTAGTATGTACTCAGCATGAACAACGTTGTGTATCTTTGTAGATCACGCCGATGAAATAACAGCTAGCCAGCCAGCCTATAGTGTGATAAATAATTATTTGCATTATTATTATTATTATTGTTGCTATAATTTTATTATGATAATATTATTATTATAATTATCGTAAACGGAATATTCACTTGGAGAAAGCCATCCACAATCAGAAATTGTGTCTCGCACGTTTAAACGTACTAGCAAGCCGAACCAAAATTATATTTTTATTTCAACAATCCAATACGCAACGTCGGCTGATATACAATACGTACAAAATTACGACGTATAGACTGCTGCTGCACACGTCAGACAATGCACTATTACGACTAATGGTGATAGTAAATAAATTCCACGTCTCAACGATTATAATGATCCGTGTCGACTTGATGATTTGTGTGTAGGTGTCCCTAATTAATATTTAAACAAGTTTACAGCCAAGTATCGATCAAAATTTTAACCTTTCAAGTCGTGTTCTTATAGTTGCAGTTCGGTGAAATAGGCCACAGAGGATAGATAAAAAAATTGTATTAATAGCTATTTTATGCCTTCTATGAGATAAAATTTCGATGGTCGACACAATACACATTATACGTATACTCAGTATACTAAAACAATATTATTTTGATTGGCTCGAAACAGGAAGATTTTAGCGGTCGTACCACCAAATAACATGTTCAGCCATTAATTTTGAAGCAAGTGTCTGCTAAATAAATGGAGCAATCCAACAAACAACATCGCGTGTCCGTAATTTACCTTATTCTTGGGAAACTTGGTCCTGGTCTAGTAAATCATGTTCTGGGAAGTTTGCCTTTACACACTCTTGGCCCCGTAGCCCATAAATCATCTCCAATAAATTTCGAGTCAATATGTTCTTGTCTTGAAATTTATTTTTGAATCATTTAAAATGCGTGAGTTGGTACTGTGACACGAGAGTGACGCGACAAAGTACATTAGACTCGAGTCAACTTGAAGACTGAAAATTTCCAAAAATTCTAAGTGGAAGTGATGAACGTATTGATTTTACTATGATGTGTATTTTATTTATGTTTTTTTTTATTTTTATGTATGTCATCAGATTTCGGAGCAGTAAAGATACAAAAAAATTCAATCTTAAATTTTAAGCGTGATTCATGGAAAATTTAAAATTCCCACTACTTTTCTAAACAATCTGGAAAAACTAAAATAAAATTATTGAAAAATGGAAATATACAAGCCTTCAGGTTCCTACTAAATCGATACTGTTTTATTTATTGTAATTCAAAAAGAAAGACCCTTAGAAATTTGATAAAATATTTAAATAAGCATTTTCTAGACATGATATAATTTTCAAAATATTTTGACATTTTTTGATTTATTTAAAAATGATTGACATTTTGAAAAAGTTTAGTTTTACTTAATAGAAGGTTCCTTAGAAGTTGACCTGGCAGAAATTTAAAATATACGTTGTTCAGAAATTGAAAATTATCTACATACATACCTATTCACTATTTTTTTCTATAATCTTCAGATGTTCAAACAATGAATAAATCCATCTAAATCACAAAAACATATCAATTGTTTTATAGTTTTAAATGTACAACATTTTATTTTATCATCTAAGGCTTGCAAATGTAATAAAAGATTCTTCATAAGTTTAAAAGTATAAAAATATGTATATATTAGAACATAGGTAATAAATAATATTGGTATTCAATTTTAAAATATGAAAAAAAATTTTTATAGACATTATTGATCTTAAAATGTTAACGAAATTGAATATTTAAATAAAAAACAACGATTTTTTACTTTAACAATTTCAATTATATTTTAAAAGCTAAACACAAAGTATTAATTGTAGGGACTCGCGACTTTTCCCCATTATGTATGTTATTATTATATTATAATTATTACGTATATTATTTACAATTCAATTTTCAAAATATTTCAACTTATTTATACCATGTGTGATGTATCTATCTACGCTATTAAACGGTACTCGGTATTGAGAAGTTAACGTCAATAATGTTATAAATTTACAATATACATACATAGTTTATTGGCAAAACGGGTTCAACAATTTTATAAATTTTTTGAGATAAAAATAGTTAAGTTAGAATTTGCAGACCATAAAAGGTATCAGTGGAATTTAAAATCACCCATACATTTAATAGGTTTAGGTGTCATAAAAATAAATATTAATTTTATGGATTTGTAAATTGTTGGAGTATAATATATAATATAAATGTTGCTACCATAGAATACAAATACTATAGTACTATACGTAAAATATAAATAAACAATGCTAATGTATAAATTGGTAATGACGTGGTAATAGTGTCAAGCAAGTAAGTATGAAATGAAAAAAAGCGTATACACATATGAATACCTTCAAATCATAACGGCAATCAATGTATAATTCGAAATTATACATTAAGAGTTGCCAAATTATGAGTTCGTTTTTTCCCTTAAAAATAAAAAAAACGTGAAACAAAATTTGTATTAAATACATTTCAACCTTTACATTTTATAATTTCCTAACACATTTCCTCTTAGGTATTATAAAATGCAATTTTAAACTATCAGTTGACTTGAATGATAATAATATAATAGCATAGAGCTGTATGTTTAAATTATATTTATTAATATATTTTTTAATGATTCGTTATTGTTTTTACAGTCTCTCTTGCGTGTAGAGGAAAATAGTATACAGAATTATTAATTTCCTATATATGTCAACAACGAACTTCTTATGTGATCTTTCAGAATAAAATACCATTATCAGAGCCTCATATGTGCAAAAACAATATACTTAGGTAATAAAATTTTTGAATAAAATAACGTACTTAATAATGACAAGGGTCCGTTTCATTTCTAAAAATAAATATTTTTCGAAATTTTAAAACTTGGTGAAAACCATTTGGTGAGTTCTTCGACAAAAAAACTAAATAATTTATTTTATATAGAGCGTTTTCGAAGAAATAATTTCAAAGTAAACATTTACATTGACAATTAATGTTTATTAATTGTGCTGCACAATAGCTTACATTTTATACATTATATATGATACATTTTTTACATTTTACATTTGCAGATACAGAAGACGCCGATTATAAGACTCACTTTGAGACCAGCACAAAGTGAGTCTTATAGCAATATAGCCTAATGAATTTTATAGGCGAAGTGGAAAAAAAAAATTAATTACGCATTTATAAATTTTATTTTACTACATATTTTGCTTTGATTTTAATACATTAACACATTTTAAATATTACATACTTTATTATTGAATAAATTTAAGAATCCTGATAAAAAAAAACTAAAATTATAATAGGTAAATATTACATATAAAAATATTATAAATAATAATAAAGGATGTATGTACATATTATAATATATTTATTATTTATTTTTATTGTACGTTATAAGGTACCACCAGAAACTAGAAATAATCAACACGAATATTATTTAATTTTTCAATACCAATTTATTTCTAAATTATAACCAAAATAGTTTATTTTCTACTATTTATTTTACGAAATTTGAGTCTAATAACCGAAGTGTTGAGTCTTATAACCGATTTTTTTTTTAATGTATTTGGATACGTCCGGACCGTTCCAGACGAATCCGAGTCTAATAAGCGACTGAACCTTATATCCGTGAGTCTTATAAGCGGCGTCTACTGTATATAATATTTTACGATTTTACAATAGGTAATTACAGATATTGCAATAAATAGTTTACAAGTTAGGTATTTAAGAAATGTGGATATCCATGGGTGTTTAAGTATGCAAACATAATAATATGCAAATTACAAGTTAAGACGTTTTACATGTGTGGTTCTGCAGTGGAGCGGCTGTAAGTATTACGATTTGTTTTCACTTCCAGTGAGCACTTCTGGATTACCGGAACCAGTTCGAATCAGCGGTGGAGGGCGGGTATGAAAACATTGACGCGGCCACTCAACATGGAAGTGGCGGCGGGCCGTTCACGTTAAACCAGGCCGGGCCCACGTAATACTCCGGTGGGGGTGGAAATCTGAAGCCCGAGGCCCAATGATTTCCAAACTCGGGAGCTGTGGCTGCCACGGTACGTACATGGTCGGTCCCACGTACAGTTCCGGTGGCGGTGGCGGAAAACCAAAGCGAGTAGCTGCCACGCTTTCCGGACTGAAAGTCGGTAGCTGCCACGTCATGTACACGACCGGACCCACGTTGCGCACCGGGAGCGCCGGCGGTGGAAAAGAGAAGCTCGTGGCCACAGCGTTTTCCGGACTGGAAGTTGGTGGGCCCAACGTTTTATTCATGTGTTGAAGGCAAACGACGTTCAGCCCCAGCCAGATCCATCGGAAAGCACTCGTCCACGCAAGTGGATTTCTGGGGAATCTCGTCTCCCCCGCCGCCGATGCTTCCGGTAAGCCACGTGGGCCTCCAGCCACGTACATGACGTGGCAGCCACCGACTTTCAGTACAGAAAGCATGGCAGCCCCTCTCTTCGGTTTTCCGCCACCGCCACCGCAACCGTACTTGGGTCCGGCCATGTACGTGCCGTAGCAGCCACAGCCCCCGAGCTTGTAGTAGCCGTGGGCTTCAGATTTCCGCCACCGCCGCCACCGGAGTATTACGTGGGCCCGGCCTGGTTTAAAGTGAATGGCCCACCTCTACTACCATGTGGCGTGGCTTTCCGGAAGCAGATAGGAGACGCGGAGACGCGATCTCCGAGAAATCCACTTGCGTGGACGCGTCCTTCACGACGGATCTGGCAGGGGCCTCCGAAGTCCGGAGTTGAAGGTTGTTCGCCTTAAACACAAGAATTATCACATAAATTATTTTTGTACCACTCGAGGAGGTTCTGTGCACACATACAAACCTCTGTTTTTCAAAAGAAAATCCACCTTTTTACAGTACATTATGTGGATATATAAACTTAAGTGGATATATTTTTGAAAATATTGATGTACCTATCCAATTCAAAATTCAGACGAATAAAGTTTCTCAATAAAATGTTTCTAAAATGTTTATTCTAACGAGTATTCCAAGGAGTTTTATTATTATAAAATAATTATTGAATAGCAGTGTATTTTTCACCATCGCGTAATTTTCAAAGTAAAAATTTAATGAAAAGGTTATACACGATGAGAATTGATAAGACATTCTTTATGTTCTTTTGTGTGTGTATGTTAATTCCTAGTAGTCGGAAAATCAGAAAACTGTCAAGTACTTATATTAATATAAAAAACTCACAACGTCTCTTAATCGAAACACGTCGAGAAATAAGCAGTAAACCGCCACCTTTATAATAGTACCATTAGAAATGTTGTCAAAGATATGATGAAATACTTCAAAATTATAATGATTGTATCCAACTGAGTTAATATACTGATTACTGATATTAATAAATAATAACAGTAAGTCTGAGTACAATAATTATTGTACTTTTACTATAAAAATATTAATAGCCAATAGGATACTATACACATAGAACGGCGTTTTGGATAGGCAATCTATACTCTATTCCAAATAAGATCGGAAGTTAGCCGCCGAGTTGTGCGCATGTGCGTGGCTTTGTTCCGTGACAGAGCCTGACGCGTAGCCGTAGTGGGGACGACATCTGGCCAATTGGCCATATTATGTCTGACCGCCGCCCGACGAAAACTGGTCACCGCCGACTCCCGATCTTATTTGGAATAGAGTATAGGGTCATGCCATTATATTATTATATTGTTTAAAATGCGTATTATAATTTATTATAATAATATTTCAGATATTCGTTTTCATTATAAGATTTATTAAATTATTTTTTCATTAAAATACTGTTTTTTAGCTCATATTTCAAATTCTGCACTTTAAAAATATGATAACTTATATTAATTTTTATATGAACTGTTTCAGTTAGTGTTTAATCGTTCTTTGACATTGACACTGTCAAGACATATAAAAAATAGAAAATATCTATCTCAAATTGCAACGATATGATATAGATATCGAAATACGATCGTTGTGCATTACCAATATTGGATATTCACTTGATTTCTCATGTAGCAATTTTTTTATTGTGTTGTAGTTAAAAAACAAATAACCGCAGATAATTTATTGAAATTTACACCATGTGTTTATTTTATCAACTGTACTTCATAAAATGTTCAAAATATTTTGACTCGTTTTGAGCTGTTTATAAACATTTCAATCTTCAATTTTTTTAGTTTTTCTTTCTATAAATATCAATAAAATTGTATTTGTTGGGTCAAAAAGCATGATAATTTTATACAAGGCTCCTGATAAATTGTTCCAATAGCTGTTGAAAAATATTAAAAATACATAGGCACAATTTTTTTTATAAGCATTTAATGTTCGAATTTTAACAAAATTTATGAAATTGAAAAATCATTTTTTTAGTTAAAAATTATAAAATGTAATTTCCACGTAAATTGGTGAATAAATTACAATATTCACAATAATATCATCAAATATACTTAGTGATATCATAGGTCTTCGCTCAGAATCGTTTTTCATATACAAAATTATTATTATTATTATTATTAATGATATTATATCATTGGCTTCCAATGTTGTATACCATCCATTACGTGACTCAATTGTAACCTATTGTACAGCGGAGTGACATCTACTTACCCGCTTTTTATAAAATATTATTTTAATAATTTTGGTATTATTACCAACAATCGTGAATCGTGATTTGTGATACTGATAAATTATACCAGCATACCTATTATAATTTTCAGTGACGTATTAAACATATTCTATAATGATTTGAAATTTTCCATTCTCAGATGACACTTAGTAGATGATTATCATAAAATTCTTGTCTTTTTACAGTTTGCACAAAGTATTGACATATTATGGTAGGGACAAAAAGGAAAATAGAACATTAAGTCTCAAGATATCGTGGTACATAATAATCGTCGTTGTGTATATTAAACAGACAATTACAGACCGGAAATGCGGAGTTGATTTAAATTTTAAAACACAAAATTGCTCAAAAAAAAAAAAAAGGAAAAGAATAATCATTATATCGTAAAGTTTTCTTGTTAATTCCTACTACCTATAGCAGATAGCTGTTAATGAATAGTGGAGATATTTTTTTTAGAGTAATGGATTTCGATGTTTTGGAGTCAGGTATAAAAAAAGACATTAGGATTTAAACCTATTTATTACGTAAGATTGTATATAATAAGGGCAAAAATAATAGATCAAATACAATTGTTTTTTTTTTAATTTAAGAATCAACATTTTTGAAATGTTGTGCAATTATATTTTCAGAATGATATTTCATAGATTTAAATTGTACAGCAATTCCAATAGTTTTACATTTTTAATAAAACATTTAATATAATATATTGTCCTACTATATTCAGACCTAATAGTGTTTTTCACAACGTAATGAACATTTTGTCCGCTACTGTCAAATGACAAACGCTTCTAATTATAACTACTTTGAAACACATGGAATTTCCATATTTCACTATAGGATTCCATCTTATACCGTTTAGAAGTAGGTAAATACATTTTTTTCTATTAAACTCGTCTATAAAATGTACACAATTTAAACGATATTGTTAACTCCCATATGGATACGCAAATAAACTTCTACTGCACTCGAACAAATGTAGTGTGCTCACGTGCGTTCGTAAATTGTACATGAACCAATGACTGCGGAAATGTACCGAGCACACACGAACTGCGTTATTCACGACGTGAATATAGTGAGAGTACAATTTGTTAAGAGTGGCCTTTGTGTGTTCCAAGTGCACTCTACCTTAAATACATAGTTACCGTGGAGCTTTTGTTTATCGGTAACTATAAGCTGCTAAATTAGTTTTCAACACGCGTGAAACCGGATTTTTATATTATTAATAAAATGGCAACGCATCTCGGATTCAGTGTAGTCAGAATGTAACGTATCGTTTCATGAACTTTTCCCGGGGAATAAGAAAAAAATCAAATATGAAAAAAAAATTATTTTATATTCAACATAAAATTATACCACATTACACGGTACCTTACACGTAGTGGGTAGATATATCGTCGTAACTTTCACTGATACATATTTTAGATTAAACCTACTCTTATTGTATACCCGCCGTATCACCATATATCCCGCCACCGACCGGCTCAAACACACGCACACATTATTATTGTTTATTTTTATTTTATATTTGTTATCAAAATTATATAATATGTAGATTAGGTCGAGACGGCTCACCGGCCAGCATAAGCCGCCACGGTGCTGAAGTTTAATTTTATTGGTTGCACAAAGTCAAGGCATTATGTTATAATGCTCAAGGGCGCAAATTGCCAGTAATTATTAACTTATACTTTTTATGGCTCAAATAGACATACATTTTTGTATTTTCTGTGGGCGCTGATCGTCACAGAGGTGCGTTTGTTATAAGCATATCTTATTATTATTGTTATTTGTGGCCGTGTGTGCAAAACCCACCCGAGGACCTTTATGTTATTTTTCAAAGTCGAATATTACCTATTCTGTTATAGAGGTGCAAATCGCAGCATTTTATTATTATCCGTGAGCGCAAAGTGCGCAATTTTTATATTATTTACAATTATATTATTGTTTTTAGTGTGTGCTAAGCGCTAATGTGTGTTATTTTGTATTTTCTCTGTTCTCAATTTTATTATTATAGGATAGGGACCAGACTGGCCAGCTGCGATCCACTACCACTTGTAAATGTGGGTAAAAATAATAAAAAAAAAAAAAAATAATATTGTTACTATATTTCCGGGTTGCTGTGAGTTACAATTTATTAGTATTATTTTTTTGTATATTTTTACCAGCAACACAGGGCAATTTGTTTATTATTGAGGTACTATTATTTATACATATATTATTATATTGTTGTGTTGCTGTACATAATATTTTATAAATTATCGTTTGCCAGTAATACAGCAATACTACTCATTATTTACTACGAACTGCGTTATTATTCATTAGTATTAGTTTAATTATATACACACACATACACGCATACACAGTACACACCTCACACATCATTACACTACATAGCTCCCTAGTATTTGCGCGGCGAACCCAACCAATGCTGGCTGGGCTACCACTACACATACAGGTTAGGTTACCTAACCTAAACTACCTAACACAGGTCGGTGTGTACGAAGTATTTTGGTGACTAGGCGTCACGACCTTTAATTGTCCGTACCCGTACACGTATATTATACAGAAGACAGAAACAGAATAAATACATAAAATAATTAATATATTTTAGGATTATCTGCCAAATGAAAAAATAATATCGTTCATATTATCATATAAGTACATCTTGAAATTGTCATACAGAATTTATATCTTTGCTTTAAGATGGGGGGAGGGGTTAAGAACATAAATCGGCAATATCAATGTCTTAACTAGAATTTTGAATCATGTGCAAGTTTTTTTTTAAAAATAAAAAGCTACATAATATCTTGTACAGATATGAGATATAATAATATGTAATCGTTATTTATGGGGGTTACCAATATTTTAATCTTTCAAAACGAAAAACAGTTC